TAAATTTTTACTATTTATTATTAAATGTTCTCCAAAAATATTAAATTAAATATCTGTTTTTTGTTTTTTTTATGTTATATTAAAAATTAATTTTAAATTCAAAATATCACATGAATATCTATTTATATCACAATCATACAATTATTTAAATTAAAAACTTTTACTCATTCCGTTCCAAACACCTTACAACATTTTCTTTTTAATATGTACAAACATCTTGCAACATTTATAAAATAGGAAATAATTAAGTATATTTAAGGAGTGTATTCAATATAGATTTTGTAGATTTTGTTGGACTTTCAAAATTTGAGTGTATTCAATCAAGACCGTCTTTTAAAATCTAAAGGGATTCAATCAAAACTTTTAAAAGTCTTTAAAATTATGACATATTCAACCATCCATAGACTTTGAAAGTCTATAGATTTTAATTGATTCTAATAGATTTTTGTGAAAATTTTGTATACAAAAGATTCTCTCCTTATCATCACAGATTTTGATGGATTTTTAAAATTATTATTATTATTATTATTATTATTGTTGTTGTTGTTGTATATGTGATCAATAATACGATAATATTTATTATTATTATTTTAATTTTTAATAAAAATAATAATTTAAAACTAAAATATATTAGCAAATTATTATGATTTCTTTTTAAATATATATTTTTATATTATAAATATAATTTTTAAAAATATTATTATAATACTGTCGTCTTTTCTTTATGCTATATTATCATTACGATAAAGGTGAAATAGATATTTAAATATATATTTTTTGTTGAACCGTTAATTTATATTTATTTATTTATTTTAATTTTTTTAAAATCAAATATTATTTATTTATTTATTTTAATATAACATTTTTACATAAAAAGTAAATACATATATATTATTTACTAATACTTATATATTATTTATTAATATTAAATATTATCTTATTAATAATTATTTATTATATTTATAAAAATTGTTGTTTGATATAAATTTATATAATTAATATATTAAAAAAATATATTTTACAATTCTACAAAATCCATATAAATCCATAAAAAAATTCAATTAAATTCGTAGAAATCCATCTAAATCAATTACTAAAATCCATCAAATTCAACGTAGACTTTGTGGATTTTCTAAATCCACATAAATAGTATAACTTTGTCTTAATCTTTACCCTACACTTTGTCTTAATCTTTATTCTACACTTTGTCTTTTCACATTACTTAAATAAATATATACTTTTCTCTCTCGTTATATAACTTAATCTCTAAATTATTCTATTTAATATTGTCTACCTAAATTCTCATGTCGAAAATAAATGTTACAACATATTTTGGGGAAAAGAGTATTATTCAAATTACAACAAAAAAATTCAAACCCCAAACAAATACATTCATAAATTACTTTTATTATAATAGAAAAAAAAAATAATACTTTTGAATCAGATATACAAAAGTAATAGAAATAGTACATTGAATTAGGACGAAAAGTATGAATTTTTTAGTACGTTATTTATTTATTTGCTATTTTTAAATAAAATAGTTATTAAAGGCAAATTGATGAATAAAAATTACAAGTAGGTACAAGTGTGTTTATTTATTATTGATTGTAAAATATGATATTTTATGTGTATTTGTTATTTTTTTATATGATTTTATTAACTTTTATTGTTATATAAATATTGAATTTTTTTAAGTAATATTTTTTTAAAAAAATTGTATACAATAAAACTAGAGCTGATAAAAACTGATTCGACACGCGACAATCCGACATGACCCGACACGAAATAATTGGATTTGAGTCAAATATTTTAATCCAATTATGTATACGGGTTAACACGAACCAGATACAATAATAAACGAGTCGGGTTATGGTTGAGACTTTCAATTCGAACCCGACACGACAACCTGATTATAATATATTAATATTGATTAATATATTTATTATATATATAAAATAATTATAATTTATTAATTTTCTTATAAATTAATTTAAACTAAATTCAATTTTAAATAATTTCAACCTAATTTATGTTCAAACCAATAAAAACTAACATAACACGACAACACAACAAAAAATTATTTAACTTGAATCAATAAATTCGACTTAATTATGTATACCGGTCAACACGAGTCAACCCGAACTCGACACGATAATAAACGGGTCAACACGAACCCGGCACGATAATAAACGGGTCAACACGAATCCGACACGATAATAAACGAGTTGGGTTAGAATTGAGTAATTTAACCCGTTTAAAGTATTCAACCCGACACGAATCAACTCATTGTCAACTCTAAATAAAACCATTAAATGAACACACCTACGCATTTAGTTAAGAGATACTCCCTCAGTCCCACATAATTTGTCCCTATTTTCTATTTTCGTCCGTCCCATATAACTTGTCATTTCTATTTTTTAAAAAAAATATAATTATACACTTTAATCGCATTTTAAATTTTAAATTTTATAATTTTCTTAATTTTAATTAAACTATTTACTTATCTTAATCTTAATTTATAATTATTTTTACTAAATAATAATGATTTTTACTAATACACTTCTTAATTACTTACTAATTATACTTTACCTAAATTCCCGTGTCTACGGTAATACACCTATATTACATGGGACGGGGGAGTAATACTGAATTTATTTCAGATTAAAAAAAAAAAAAAAAAGGTTAGCTCTATCGATTAATGCATGACACGACACATACAAAAGATTCTCAAAAGTATTCTTTAGAGATAAAAAGTTATTTAAAGTAACGTACGATTTTGTTACAATTGTCATGACACTCTAATATTCTCATTTATTCTTCCTTTCACTATGTTTATTGATATATTTCTATTAATTTATTAATTAAATTGGTAGGTTGAATGAAGCTTATTCGATTCTATTGATTTAAATCCAAATCGAAGAATACATTAGGTTTTATAGAAGAAAAAGAAAAAACAAAAATTAGTAAATAAAATAGAAAAGTAGTATTTATATTAACCAAAAAAAATATTTACTAAAGAATATATATGACAACAAAAAAATAGTATAAATTTAAACGATAGAAATAGCACAAAAATTTATTATAAATTATTATATTTAAACTATTGTTCAAATAAAAAACTAAAACTAAATTTTACATTGATCAATTCTCTCAAATTTAGCTTATGAATAAAATACAAGAAGCTCCCTCTATTTTTTTTTTTTTACGGTTATTGTACTTAACAAAGATATAATAATTAAATAAAAAATATTACTCCATCCGTCCGCTTACAAAGTTTACATGTTTCTATTTTGGGACGTTCAATTACAAAATTTACATTTCATTAAATATCCTACTTTTTCCACAAATACCCTTACTTTACATCACATCATTACTTTTACACAAAAAAAAATAAGAGCAAAAATGTCATTACACTACTTTTAATTACTCACTATAATTAAAATACTATTATTTCTTAAACACCGCGCCAAACATAAATGTAACCCTTGTAAATGGATGGAGAGAGTATTTTTTATAGGAGTATTAACAATATCAATTTTCATATTTAATACTTCATCCGTCCCATAACAAATTATCTATTTTTCCATTTTAGTCTTTCCCAAGTATCAATTTTTCCTTTTTAGTAATTTTACTATCTGTTTAACATTACAAATACCCTTACAACTTACAATATATTACGCAAATGCTGTTACCTTTATATCACACAATATTAATAAGGTTATTATAGTAATTTACATTTTATTCATACTAAATTTCAATATAATATTAATATTTTCTTAAAATTCCGTACAAAAAGTAAACATATACATAGTTATGGGACAGATGAAGTACAAAAAATATATACTTAATTTTAAAACACATAATACTTAATTTTATTTCAAAATATTATTCTATTTATAATACTTAATTTTATTTCAAAATATTTTAAAAACATATATGTTTGAGTAGGCGTTTAAATTTGGATTTCCGAAAGAAATTTCAAAAAATATATTTTTTTCAGAAAAATATATTTATTTTGTACCAAATCTTTAAATTTTATTATTTGAATTATGCAATTTTTTTTAAAAAAATATCATTTCTCATCCATTATTATTTTAATTCAAAATTCAAATCAAAATTTTTTAAATCAATTAAAAAAAACATACCTAAATTGGAGTTATATAAAAAAATTTAAAAATTAAGTATTTAATATGATATTTTATATATAAAAATAATATTTGATGTGGTATATATATATTTAAGAAAACATTATTATTTGATGAATAATAACAAAACATTAAAAAAATATGGATTTAACGTGTTACTATTATAAACTACAAAACTCATAAACTAACAAACCCTAAAAGTTTGGGCTTAGAAATCGAGCCGGCCCACTTCTATTAGCCCAATCCAGCTCGAGGCCTGCTTCTTAAAGGCGTCCGATCCTGAAACGACGTCGTTTTTCATTTTGACATATTCAGGAAAAGCACACTCTAAACGAACTTTTTGAATGACAGTTTTAATTATGATTAATTAATGATCGATTTTGGTTAAATGAACAACATATTCATATGTATTATTTTTTATATTTTTCTTTTTTAATTTAGATTTTATTCAAAAAATTAATTTTAATTTGATTTAATTTAGATATATATTTATTATTTATTTATAGTGTAAAAATTATATAAACAATAGTAATTGATTAGATTTTTACAATATTCAAATAGTTAATATAATAAATTTGGTAAATAATTAAATTAATTTTTGAATCAAAATAAATAAAAATAAATTATAAAATATTAGTGTATTAAATAATAAAAAAATAATTTAAATTAAATATAATTATATATTAAAATTTACAAAATTTAAAATATAAATATACAAAATAAGTATTATATTATTTATATATATTAATTATTATTTATTTTTATAACAATTTAATAATAATAATTTTAATTATAAATGTATTACTATTGTAAATTACAAATTTGCCCTAATTATACATACATCCACTCTACAGCCGCAGCCGCACCACCAGGTTCTTCCCCACCTTCTTCTACGTCAATTCTCTTTCCTTTCGTCCTTCTTCTTTCCTCCTCATACTTCTTCGCCGTCGCCGTCGCCGTCGCCGCCGCAGCCGCGCACCAGGTTCTTCCCCCATCTTCTTCTTCTTCCCCAATTCTTTCTTTTCTTCCATCGTCTTTCTTCCTCCTCCTAAAGTCGCCGCCCCGGTTCCAAATAAAACTGTAACCGCCGGTTCAAAAACCGGAGAACCGACGGTTTGAACCGGCGGTTCTGAACCGGATGGGCAAGTCTAGACTTTAGTGAGAATCTGTATTTTCATCATTTAGACACGCCACCTCCGCCATGGAGGGATGATAATTGGCAGTAGTAGACTCGGATTGATCTGCTCCGCCGCGCGATTTTTTCCCGCCATTTTATTTCCTTCTTGTTGATGTTTCCACTGGGATTGAGCTGCCGTCGATCTGTTCTCATCTCAGTGCTCAATTTCTCCACCAAACTGCCGCTCCCTTCTCCTCGTTTAGCATCACTGAAGCCGTCGGTTTTTCTCGCAAAGTTCAACCCTAGATTGAAAACAATGTCTGGCTCTCGTCCGTCGGCATTCGACGTCCTCATGTCCAACGCTTCCAAAAAAAAGAAAAGTCCGTCTCAGCCACAACCATCGCCGGCGAAAGAAGGGAAGCGCAAGACTCGCCAAACCCCTGATTCAAACCCTAATAAAAATGCCGCGGAGGAAAGTCGAGATAGCGTCAAGAACACGTCCGCAAGCCAAGCTGTGTTGGCCAATGAGGAGAAATCATTGAAGAACACTTCCGATGGAGGTAAAGAGAAAAGTAGGCCAAAATCCAGCGATGATTCGAGTGGAGACACGGGGTTGAAGAAGAAGGCCAAGGTTTCGATCACACCTGATGAGAGTGCTGTGGAGTTGAAGAAAAAGGCAGCAGCTTTTGATGTGAAGAGGGCGGCCTATTGGGGGACGGGGAAGAAGGTGCCTTTCATGTTTGTAGTGAAGGCTCTTGATGCTATATCGAAGGAGTCGGGCAGGATTGCCATTACAGAGATTGTGTGTAATCTGCTTAGGACAGTAATTGTGACTTCGCCTGATGATTTATTGGCGGTGGTGTACCTTTTGGCAAATAGAATTGCACCTGCACATGAGGGTTTGGAGCTTGGCATTGGAGATGCATCGATTATCAAGGCCCTTGCGGAGGCATGTGGGGCTAAAGAAGCACATATCAAGAAGCAGTACAAGGTGAGAAGATTTCGAAAGTTATATAATTACTGCACTTTTTGTTTTTATTTAGTATTTTTAATTCTAAGCTGGAAAGAATTAGTTGCAATGCATGATTAAAAGTGATGATTTCTGAGTGAAGTCAAGAATTAAGCGCTACATCCATTATTATCAATTTGATTGCAATAAGACTAGAAGTTACTATAGTTTATAGTGATTGTAATTGGGTGGTTAAGCTTTTGTTAGACTGCCAAGAATGTCTCCTTTTTCCTGCGACTAAATCTTAGTTGTAAAGACTATATGCTTGGAAATGCAAATAAGCTTTTGTTCTTTGGATTATGCTACATATGTTAACCACAGTTAATTGCTCGTCAAGCATCATTGATGATCAAATTTATAAAGAGTCCTGTGCTGATAAAAAATTCTCTTATCTATGGTGGATACTGCGGAGATGTTACTAGAATTTGGCTCGACTAGTTTTGCAATGAAATATAATGTGAATATTGAAGTTTTTCTATCCTTCATCCTGTTATCTGTTTCTTTTATAAGTGAACATCTTATTGATTGTTATATGTACCTATAAAAGATTTCATCTTACCCCTGTTATTCTTAATTCGTATTATTTATTTATATAGTATTTTTTTTCCTATATGCCTTGTGCAAGTTAAACGCAAGTGACGTCTTGGAGTTTCTCATTAACTGTTTCATAATTATAGGAGCTTGGGGATTTAGGTCTAGTGGCAAAGGCTAGTCGTTCATCACAGCCTTTGATGCATAAACCGGAAGCATTGACCGTTGCTAAAGTTTTCAATACATTTCGGCTTATTGCCAAGGTACGTGTCAATGTATTTCCTTTTGATTTATGTTTTTTTTTTTTTTTTTGGTTTGTGAAGAAATCTTCTCTAGTTCTATTAATATTTTCAAAGTCTCCAATTCATGTGGTGCATCATTCTTCAGTCAATATATTATCCTAAAAACAAATTGGAGCTTGGATGAATTTTTTACCTAGGCTGAACCCAATTGGTGGCCTGTAATCAGGTTGTGCATAATGATTTTTTTTGCCCACTTGAGAATTGCATGATTTGATGGAGCAAGATATATACTGCCTGAGCATTATCATTTCAAGAAACTTTACATAAAAGAGGAATAAAAGTGAATTAAGTTCTTTATTGGTATTTCCTTTTTCTAATTGTACAAGTGGAAAGAATGCATCTAGCCCATTTCCGGATATTTAGTAGTAACTGATTTCTGTTGGCCCTTTCAATTCGGTTTCTGGTTTTCTCTTGAGACTAAATTCAGAGAATAGCTTTTAGGATCCTGGATGCATCATGTGAACATAACAACTATAGCATAATTATAGAAGATACCATAATAAATCAATATCAGCTGTTGCGTTTCAGTTGATTGCATGCTGACTTCTTCATTCACATGCGAGATGGATTGTGTATTTTCTCATAGTCTTCAAAGTCATTATGCAGTGAGTGCTGGTTGTCTTCAGATTCTGTTATGAATTTATTTTGGCGTTTCTTTGAAAGGAATCAGGCAAAGATAGTCAAGAGAAAAAAAAGAACCACATAAAAGGATTACTTGTTGCTGCAAGTGATTGTGAACCTCAATATTTGATTCGTTTGCTCCAGGTTAATTGAATTTATTTATTTATTACTTTATTTAGTTTTGGGCTGCACATTATGAATTTGATTTGAGAATACATGCAGACAAAACTACGTATTGGTTTGGCAGAACAAACTCTGCTGGCAGCACTGGGGCATGCTGCTGTATATTCTGAGGAGCATTCTTCGCCTCCTAAGAAGATTGATAATCCTTTTGAAGACGTAAGTTTTGGATTCATAGATATTAAGTTTCTTATCTATGCTTAAATTGCAATTATCAGAATGCTGCTTTCTTCAACTTTCTTGTCGATTCATCAGGCTGCAAAGATTGTCAAACAAGTGTATTCGGTAGTACCAGTCTACGATAAAATCATTCCTGCCCTTCTCTCTGATGGGGTATGGAATCTCCCGAAAACATGTAGCTTTTCACCTGGTATTCCTATTGGTCCCATGTTAGCCAAACCGACCAAAGGGGTTTCTGAAATTGTTGAAAAGTTTCAAGATATGGAGTTTACCTGTGAGTATAAGTATGACGGTGAACGTGCTCAGGTATGAAAATTTTGTTAGAGTTCGTGTGGTGCGTCGTAAAGGTTCTTATGTGTTTCAACTTAAACACCTTGTAGATACACTATATGGAAAATGGTTCAATTGAGATTTACAGTAGAAATGCTGAGCGGAATACTGGAAAATTTCCGGATGTTGTGGCTTCTGTTATGAGGTATCTCTATTTTAGTGAATGCCCATTGTGCAAAATTGTCGTTTTGGTTATTTCTTGTGCATCAAATAAATTATTGTATATATATACATATATTCAACAATCAGACCTGTTCATTATTTTACTGCAGATTGAAAAATTCTTCCGTAACCTCCTTTGTTCTTGACTGTGAACTTGTTGCATATGACCGTGAGAAGCAGAAAATCCAACCTTTCCAGGTCTATCACTTGATGATCGCTTTTGTTAGATGTATATCCATATTTGTTTGGCTATGTAATCTAGATAGATCCATATCTTGATAGATATTAGATTTTGTTTGGTGAATAGATTATCTACTATACCTATATATATAAGCATTCTCCTCTCCTTTCTCTTGGAATGAAATAAAATAGATTTTCCCCTAAATTTTCTACAGCATTCAACTTAAGTATGATGCGTTGTAAATAATCTGGAGATCTATTGAGCTCTTGTTACTTGATTGTAGTTGTTTGTGGATGTCACTTTGTTGATATCCACTTTCTATATATAAATTTGCTCTAAATAGATCTTTGTAGTGACATGAGCCTCTGTGACACACCAACATGATTGGTTCTTTGCTATTATGATACCTAATAGCAATCTGTCATTTCCATTGTTTGCACGCATCTTGCTCAGAAAATCACCCAAATGATATTTTATTTTATGACCCTCTCAATATTCACATATCCATTCTGATTCATATATATATATGAGTAACTTACAAAACTTGTCTTGATCAGGTTCTCAGTACTCGTGCTCGGAAAAATGTTGTCTTGAGCGAAATCAAAGTCAACGTATGCATATATGCCTTTGACCTGCTGTATATAAACGGTCAAGAACTACTGCAGGAGCAGCTAGATGTCCGCAGAGATGTATCGTACCCCTCTACGACATTTATCACTTGAACTATGCATTTATTTGTCAATTAGTATCCACCTGAGTGAAACTATGGTGCCTCCTTTTCAGCATATAATAATATGAATCGCCTCTGGATAATGTTTGTGCAGCATCTTTACAAATCATTTCAAGAAGAGAACGGCTTTTTCCAGTTTGCCACTGCGATAACATCGAAGGACTTGGAGGAAATACAAAAGTTTCTCGATGATGCTGTTAATTCTAGGTAATTCTAATGTTTATTGGCTTTACAAAACTTGTTGCGGAATGAAAATTCATATCCTGTGAATTCTTGATGTTGTTTGCTTTCTACTTTCCAGCTCTGAAGGGCTGATTATCAAAACTTTGAAAAAAGATGCTACTTATGAACCTTCAAAACGGTCTCATAATTGGCTTAAACTGAAAAAGGACTATATGGAAAGGTTAACTCTTGAAGCTGATAACTTATTCAAATAAACAAATGCTTCTTGTATTCGTCATGAATTTCTTATCATTTCCATGCTCTGCAGTATTGGTGATTCGCTAGATTTGGTTCCAATTGCTGCATTTCATGGCAGGGGTAAACGGGTTGGTAAGTTTTAATACGCTTTATGTTGAAAGACCAAAGTAGCAATGGATGACCAAAAATTGTGTTAGGTTGAGACTCTCCGCGATTGCTATCTACAACAGTTTGAAAACCCACTTTTGTCCGTTTGCTAAAAAATAACTGCTAAATCGCGCGGCTCAAATGAAGCAGTATTAGCTGGAACCTTTTAGCAACTTCGTCATGTTTCTAAAGTAGAATAAATTATTATTTGATAATTTAACATTCATTGATATCCATAAATATCTGTTACGAGCATCTTCATTACTATTTTACATGAAGGTTAGAAATAGCTTTTGAACATATGTATCTTCAGTTGACTTATATTTGTAAAAATTTCTACTATTTATTCTGTTCATATCTTTTGATTGCGTTGTTTTTATGGGAAAATAGTCACCACCTTTGCTAAGACAATCCCTACATTAATAATGTTGTTTTTTGTTTTCAGGTGTCTATGGGGCCTTTCTTCTTGCTTGCTATGACAGTGACAACGAGGAGTACCAAAGCATTTGTAAAATTGGTGAAGTTTCATTTCTTAATCAAAGCTGTGATACCACTTGATGTTTTCGAAAAATTCTACAAATTTTTATTTGATTCTGAACTATGCTGAGACTTCTGGTTCCCATTAGGAACGGGATTTTCTGAAGCTACACTTGAGGAACGCTCAGCCAGTCTTCGTTCTAAAGTCATTCCCAAGCCAAAGGTTGGATCGCTAAATGCCTTTGTATCCCCTGCCCGAATGTATGGCTCCTTTTACTGGATTATAACTGAATTTTGTTGTTCTCTGATATCAATCCTTGTCCAGGTATATTACCGATTTGCAGATACGCTCAATCCAGACGTATGGTTTGAACCGACTGAGGTAGGATTCAATGACTTTTCAGTCATTCAGTCTTGAAAGCATCTCACATATTCCATTTGTTCTACGGTCACCATTAATCTTTCCTGGCTGCCTTATCCCCAAGCATCTTTGTAGTGAAATTATGCATCGATTGTTTTATTTCTTAGGTTTGGGAAGTCAAAGCTGCTGACCTCACAATCAGCCCCGTTCACCGTGCAGCTGTAGGTATCGTCGATCCTGATAAGGTACTTTTCAGTCTTTAACACATTAGTCCCATATGCATTCCATTTTTGGATTAAATACTTAACATTCCTTTGCATTGACTTATCATAAGGGAATTTCCCTCCGATTTCCCCGCTTGCTCCGTGTCCGTGAAGACAAGAATCCAGAGCAGGCATCCTCAGCCGACATGGTAATTCTTTGTGCATTCGTACTTTGTTTCCAACCACATCTTGATCCCCAGATACGTCTGTTCCCATAATTCCTATGTTTATCAGCTCAGTTAGGGGGTGTTTGGTAAGGGAAATGGTAGCAAACGTTTTCTTTGTTTGTTTGATCCTGAGAAGTGGAATTCTCATTCTCTACTTTATGATAGAGATTGAATTTGTGGGAGAAAATAGTTATAATTTATCTCAATTTTTCTGATTTTATATAAAAAAATAATTTTATTATTCTTCATTCAAATTTTCTTCTGTCTCTGTCTTGGTCGCCGCCCGTCGTCACACCATTTTCCGGGATTTGAGGGTTTACGATATATATATTAGAATTTTATGATAGACTTATTATTACGAATAAATGATAATTTATTTTTTGTTACATTTCTTCAAGTTGAATTCTTTACTAATAATCAATTCTCATTTTTTATTATAATTCCATTTCTATGTAATTTTATTCTCTGTTATATCTTCAGGTTGCAGATATGTATAGAGCACAGAAACATGCCCAGAAAGACAAACCAGACGAAAACGAGGATGACTGAAATAGACTAGAGGATATGCAAACCACACGCCTTGCACATCTATAAATGTTTCTTTTTCGATCTAATGTAAGCAAATTCTTGGCCAGGCCAGCTCTGTTGTCAATTGCAATGCATCTCTTATACTTTGTTCAATCTGGCAGGTCAACAGGCCCTGTAGGACATGGAATCCATGATCGATCGAGTTCTTCACCTGCGCTACGCTGTCAGTAAGATTGTAAACTATTCGTTAAGTCTTTGTATGGAGGAACTGTCTAGAAAATGTATGCAAACGTATTGTTTCTTTCGATTCGAATCAGGGCAATGCTGGTTCAAGTTTTTGTCTTCAATTTTCGTACGAAAGGCAGACCTGCATTTTTTCGATTCGAATGTTGAAGGGCATGTAGTTGATGAATATATAGTTCGATCAGTTTTTAACATCAAGTTCTATCTTACAGTATAGCTGCAACATTACAAGATTTGGCATCAATTCAAGTAGTGAGTGAATTTGCAGGATCAATTGTTGGTTGCTGCTATTATTAGATAATCAATCGAATCATTTTTTTTTTAGAGAGAACAAGAAAAGAAAATTAATGGTCATTTCAAGAGATATAAAATAGTTGTAGTGAGCTAAGGGTAGGATTGTTTAGTGTTTTGGTTTCAAAAATATTTGTTTATCGGAAAACAAAAATTGTAATGTGAAACTAATAAAAAAACTCCGATCCAAAATAATAAGCTTGTAAATTATGTCGTAAGTCATATTAGGCAAGTCCTGTATGATATACTCTTTCCCTTTCATCTATCTATTTATTTTTTGTATGAAATAAAATGTAAAAAGACTAACCTATGTTTATTAGTATTTTATGATATAAAAGTAATGATATTTGTGTAATATATTATAAATTAAAAATATATTTGTAATGTTAGGTAGATATTACAGTTATTTTAAAAAAAATAAAATAGATATTTATTATAGATTGTTGGAGGGAGTATAAAATTGTGATCTTGAACATTGATGAAGAGGACAAAAGCAATGGTCAAGTGTAGACAAAATTGTATGTCTGGATCACTATAAATACGAAAATTTAGGATAAATATAATTAATAAATAATTAAAAATATATTAGTAAAAATAATTATCTTATAATATAAATAATTATATATTAAAATTAAGATAACTTATTAATTTATTAAAGTTAAGATAACTTATTAATTTATGGTAAGTGAGAATATTTTAAACGTCAATCCAATTAAATCAATAAATTTTCATTCTAACTCCCAACCTTACTTTGTGAGTCAAATGTTAGGTATCCCAAAAGTCTAATTTCACCAAACACCTAATAACCACTCCAATAATATTATACTATATTCCGCTCATTTAATTCCAACCCTTAAATTATACGGTTTTTTTTTTTTTTTTTTTTTTTTTTTTTTTTTTTTTTTAAGTGTAAAAACAGAAAAAAAAAATTATGTATTTTTCTAAAATGCCCTCAAGATATTATTTTTTGTTGTTCTGTTTTTTTTTTTTTTTTTTTTTTTTCCGATGACGAAGTTGTGTAAAGAGAAATAAAAAATAATAGTATAGTATCGGTAAAAATAAACCGGCATCTTGCCCCCCCAAAAATCGAATGATGTTCCATCAATGCTTTGTAAAATATAAAGAGAATTAGAAAGAATATTTTTTGTCAGAAAATAAAATATATATTATATATATATATATTGAGAATCAATATAAAAAAGAAATATTTAGGTGAACAAAGTCTTTTTTTTTGTTATTTATTTTAATTTTGTTTTCATTTAATTATTTGTCACATTTTTTAATATAAAATATTACTGTATATTTTAAGACTTAAAAATAATAATATACTCCATATATATATATATATATAAGCGGCACCCTAAACTAAGGGTGCATTTGGGGAAATTAAATGCAAACCTGCAGCAACTAATTGAATAAAAATATACTAATTTTCTTTTCTAATATTTTTAATTTATGGTTTTCAATTTTTTTTTTTTTTTTTAATTATACTATGTGTTGTAGTAAAGTAATGTATATACTCCCTCCGTCCCATGTAATATAGGTGTATTACCGTAGACACAAGAATTTAGGTAAAGTATAATTAATAAGTAATTAAGAAGTGTATTAGTAAAAATAATTATAAATTAAGATTAAAATAAATAAATTATTTAATCAAAATTAAAAAAATTATAAAATTTAAAATTTAAAATGCGATTAAAGTGCATAATTATATTTCCAAAAATAAAAAAAAACAAGTTATGTATGACAGATGAAAATAGAAAATAGGAGAGAAATTACGTGGGATGAAAGAAGAATTATATTCAACAACTACTAAACATATATATATGCAAACCACACATAATGTTTTTATTTTTAATCGAATGAAAATTGATAGGATAAAATACTGCAAGAGTGGTATAGATACTAAGGTGTTTTTAGTTATATTTTCTATCTAGTGTTTTAATTTTTCACTACTCATTTATACTAATTTATTTATTTATGTTTTTTTAAAAAAATATTACATCATGTCATCATACATTTATTTTATATTTAATATGTACTATATTCAAAAATATTTTTCATTGAAAATACTTTTATTAAACACTTATTTATCTCACAATAAATAATACTTTAATATTTTAGGATTTGTTTGGTTGTGATATTCTCCTTCGTCCTAATTTAAAGTATCATTTTTACTATTATTGTCCATTTCACTAAATAATATATTTTTTTAATAAAAATAATCATACACTAATACCAAAATACCTTTAATTTTTATCTAAATTACAAGCATATCATTACACGTACAATTACTTTATATAAAAAGTTAAATGACAAAAATATCAAAATCTTTAAACACTTCTATTATTTCTTAATTTATTACAAAAGTCCAAATGACCCCTTTCAAAAGGAATGGAGGGAATATTATTTATTTTTAATATCTTACAATTTACAATATATCATTACTTTTATATATTACATAATACTAATAATAATATTTTTGTCTTTTAAACTATAAATTAATATAATACTAATATTAAAAAGTTTACATATTAATAATAAATAATTTTTTTTATTATTATTTATTATTTATTTATTTATTTTTTTTTTTTTTGAGGATTGAGGAAGTATATAGGTATATTATTAACATTTTAGACAAAATAATGATGTGCACATGCAAAATAGCTTATTAGAATAGATTGACTTGATTGTTGTTAAAGATGGGATGAAGTTTGCCAAAAATGTCATGCATGTTGCTATGTTTTGATCTATTTTTAGTATCTTTTCTTTTCAGTATAAAATATTGTACTCCTTCTCTCCTATAACAAAGTATCAATTTTTTCATATTAGTCCGTCCCTTAACAAAGTATCAATTTTTTTTAGTAATAAGGTTATTTTAGTCATTTCTACATTATTCATATTGTATCTCAATATAATATTAATATTTTTAAAATTACGTGCAAAAAACAAATGAATATTTACTTATAAGATAGAGGGAATATACCCTTTTAGCTCTCGTTGTTTTGTCCTTTCATTATTGTTCATTTATCTTCCTTAGTTTTAGATGTTAATATAAAAGATATTATTTTATCATTTTAAATTCAAATCAATATTATTTATTCAGCATAATTTTTATAAAAAAATATATACTTTTTTTATAAAGTATCAAATCAAAATATTATTTAAACAAATACTCAAATATAACACTCAATTTCAAATTAATTTCGAACCACAATCAAACAAATGTGCGTTCACCCAAATAATATTTTTATTGACATGATTTTCAATATGTATAATATTTATATTCTAGTCTATCGTGAAAGTCAACAATTTAATACAAAATATTATTTTTTATATTATCTACACGTCTTTTCATATTTTACATAAAGAAAACCTAAAATACTAAGCAAACACAGTTTTAAACTAGGCGAATTTGCACCCATAATATAATTTTTTTTTTATACGTATAATGAATATTCTAGAAATGAAAACATAACAAACTTTCACTCCTTTAGCATTATTTATTTTTGAAAAGTGTAACATCAAATATATATATATATTTTTTTCTCACAAAATATCAAATTAAATACTGACTTTTTATTTTTTAAATTTTTAAAATTTCAAAACTTTCCAAAAACCCATTGTCTAAACGGAGCCGAAATTTGGATTAATGCACTCAAGTTTGAAATATATTTCTATATATATACATCGTATACATGAGTTCTTCTCAAGTATTCACATCAAATTAACTATTCCATCTAATAATATTAATACCAATTAGAGCTGACAATGGGTCGATTCGTGTCGGATTGAATACTTTAAACGGGTTAAATTACTCAACTCTAACCTAATTCATTTATTATCGTATCGGGTTCGTGTTGACCCGTTTATTATTGTGTCGGGTTCGGGTTGACTCTTGTTGACCCGTATAAATAATTAAGTCGAATTTTTTTATTCAAATTAAATAATTTTTTCTTGCGTTGTCGTGTTGTTATGTTAGTTTTTATTGGTTTGAGCGTAAATTAGGTTGAATTATTAAAAATTGAACTTAGTTTAAATCAATTTATAAGAAAATTAATAAATTATGATTATTTTACATATATAATAAATATATTAATCAATTTAATATATTATAATCGGGTTGTCGCGTCGGGTTCGAGTTGAGAGTCTCAACCCTAATCCGATCCGTTTATTATCATGTCGGGTTCGTGTCAACTCGTATACATAATCGGATTAAAATATTTAATCCAAATCCAATTATTTCGTATCGGGTTATCGTATCGGGTCAGTTTTTGCCGGCTCTAATCACAATATCATTACTACTCTATTTTCATATGTACTTTTATAAAATTTGACATTATTTATAATCAATAGTATTCTTTCAAAAAAATAAAAGTATAATATGTAATATATATATATTTTTATAAAATATCACATCAAATACATAACTGTTTATTATTATTATTATTATTATTATTATTATTATTAAGATTCTTTAAAATTTCAAAACTTCAATTGGAGTGTTTGTTTGATATTGTAATTTGAAGTTTCTTTTTTATTTTATTTTATTTATCTATTTATGTAAAGTATGAAATTTTTTGTCAATAACATAAAAAATTGTTAAATTATTAATTTTTTGGTGATAGAATATATTATATACATATTATTTATATTATATAAATGAATGTATGTATATATATATATAAATCTATTATTAATATTAATTGAAAATTGTATCAGCAATAATTTATTGGTTGAATTCGTTTGTAGGATTTTGATAAAATCATTCTATTCATCCAAATTTTTTCCTCCAAAAACATCAAATCAAACACCTATTTTTTATTTTTATATTATACTAAAAATCAATTTTACATTTAAAATATCACATCAACACCTATTTATATCACATCATACAACTATTCAAATTCAAAATTTTTACTATTCAAATCCAACTCAAAATCCAAACCCCAAACAAACACACTTTATAAGGTTTCCCTTAGGACACATGATCTATGTACTTCCAATAGAAGTGATAAAGAATGAAATATTAAATTTTTTATAATATTTAAATACATATTCTAATTTTTTAATCATATATATTAAATATATTTTAAAAATATAAATATTATTAATTATATAAAAAATAATAAAATAATATCATAATTCACTATTGTTAATTAATTAAATATCATTATTTTAAATATTATCTTCCTAATAAAATGTGTCAATATGTTGGGATACAATAATATTCCTTTTGTTCGTCTCAATTCGAAGTATCATTTTTATAATTTTCGTATGTTTCATTTCAAAGTATTTATTTTTAATTTTATAAAAAGTAATCATAAAATAATAGCAAAATGTTATATTTTACTTAAATTATAAAAATATCACTACACATACACTTATTTTATACAAAAAAATCAAAGATAAAAAATATCAAAATATCTTAAATACTTTCACTGACCAATAAAATACTACTCCCTCCGTCCAAGCTAAAAGTATACAATTACTTTTGGCGCGGAAATTAAGGAATAATAGTATTTTAATTATAGTGGGTATGTAAAAATAGTAAAATGACATTTTTGATCTTATCTTTTTGGTTTAAAGTAATGATGTGATGTAAAGTATGGGTATTTGTGAAAAAAATGGAGTATTTAATGAAATGGTTACTTATGTAATTGGATATCCCAAAATAGAAATATGTATACTTTCTGGCTGGACGGAGGGAGTATTATTTTTTATTTTAGTCAATTATAAAATCCCTTAAAGGTCCAGTTCAAAAGAGACTGAAAAAGTATTAAAAATTTCAAATCTCCTTTAACTTGAGACGGACGAAGTGTCAAATTCCAAAATTTATTGAGCAAAGAAAGCTAAGTACAAATTATTGCTTTTTGTGTGCTCGTTTTTGTTCTTGATTTTTATTTATTTATTTTTTCCTTTTTAAATTTCTGAAGTGCATGTGGAAGCTGCTGATTATTTATTTATCTTTTTCATGTGGAAGCTGAGTTTGAGGTTCAGTTTGTTTTGTTGTCTGTCTCTCTGTCACTACTCATCATAATACATATATAAATGTTGCTATATATGTCAGGTCAAGTGAGGTGAGGTGAGGTCAGATGAGATGAGTTGAGGTGAGGTCACACTCATATTTCATCACTAAATCCACAGAGTCACAGAGATGGATGATTATGATTGGACATGAATGAGCTAGCTTCAGTCAGCCATTGGAGTTGCAGTTGCAGTTGCAGCTGCAGTAATAATTGCTGCGTAGGTGAGACCCTTTATTACCAATACCAAAATCAGCTGTCTCCCCACCAACTTCATCATCTCTTCCACCGACAACAACACCTCTCTCTCTCCACGAATTTAACCTTAGCTCTCATCACACAAATTAATTCATATACATACATACATATATATATATATTGAGATTGATATTGAGATCATATATGCATATCTGAATATTGATGATGGTACAATCTAAGAAGTTCAGAGGTGTCAGGCAGCGCCAGTGGGGCTCCTGGGTGTCAGAAATCCGACACCCTTTACTGTAAGCATATATATATATATATGATTTAATTTAGGGTTTTTGGATTGGATTGATTTGGGGGAATTTGAGTAATTGATCGATTGATTTGCAGGAAGAAGAGGATTTGGCTGGGGACGTTCGAGACGGCGGAGGCGGCGGCGCGGGCGTACGACCAGGCGGCGGTTCTGATGAGCGGCCAGAACGCCAAGACCAATTTTCCGGCGAGCCCCGGAGGGATCAGGGGGGAGGTGTTTTCGCCGGAGCTGCTGGGGGCCAAGCTGAGGAAATGCTGCAAGAATCCGGCGCCGTCGATCACGTGCCTCAGGCTCGACAACGACGATTCCAACATCGGGGTGTGGCAGAAGAGGGCGGGCCGCCACTCGGGCTCGCATTGGGTCATGAAGGTCGAGCTCAAGAATAACAGCCACCACCGTCCACGGCGGTTCTCCGGCGGCGGCGGTGGCGATGATGATGATGATGAAGATGATGATCACGTGACGACGATGGAGGAGGAGAATAAAGTTGCGATGCAGATGGTGGAGGAACTGCTCCATTGGAATAATAGCTCCGACCAAGATCAGTTGTCTCCGCCGCCGCCCGGTAATAGTAATGAAATTAATTAATTAATTATTAATTATATATACTTGATAATGAGAATATATATATATACATATATATATATAGAGAGAGAGAGAGAATAATGATAATATGTGTAGGCTAATTCTCACTACTTACCTACCTCAGTAACCGATTAATTAAGCTGCGGAGGTATGTAAATAATTATGATGCTGTTTTTTTTTTTTTTTTTCAAATTCTTGCTATCATAATCATAGTCATCATCGTCCTCTTCATGATTTCTAGTTAATTTCGACCTATGTGTAGCTAATTTCTAGGTTTTAATTATATGGCTTCTTTTAATTATCCTTTATCTCTCTCTCTCTCTCTCTCTCTCTTTCTCTCTCTCTATATATATATATATGGGTGGGTGGGTGGCTTATGTATGTTCAATCGCTACAAATTGACCCTTTCCTTTTTACTTTTGATAAGCATACTTCTTCGTCATTTTTCATATTCCCTCTGCGTCTCTACGTTCATATTTATTTTTTGCGTCATTATATTTAATATTAAAAATATTTTTATAATTTTATAATTTTTTATATAAATATTCTTCTTTTGTATTATAAAACGCAATGAAAGTATTTTTACAATTTTTTTTTATTATATTTTAATATAATAATTAATATTCAAATACTAACGAACAAAAAAATAAATGAGATAGTATTTTTTATAAAATATTTATGTTTATCCAATTAAAATATTTTTACATTTTTCGGCTAAAATTATTAAAAAAATTTAATTACATATATGCATACAATATAGATAATATATATCCTAAGCTAAATATACTTTTATAAAATTATAATAGTATATATATATATGTGTATAATTGCCCTCAATCATACGATTTTATTTAACAGATTTAGCATATGTTGTACTTTCTTCGTTATTGACATTTATGTTTATTTGATTGGATGCAAAATTTTTTAAAAAGAGTAAAAATATATATATATTTTTATAATACAAAGAAAAAATAATAATTTTTAATAAAAAATAAAAATATTTTTTATAACAAAAAAAATATAAATTTAAATGAAATTATAAGTAATAAATAAAAGTACGTACTATCTAGTACTATGTACTCTGTATAAATATATACTTCCGACTTTGATGTTCATTTTATTCTAGACATAAGAATTTACAAGTAGTATTGTTGATATAATTTTTTAACAAAAATAAAGTAAAATTCAAAGATATAGAAAATATCCTTAAACTTGATTAATTAGTGCCTGAGATTAGAAATCTCTAAACACTGTATGGTACAGAAAATAAACTGGAAAATAAAAGACTGAAATTTAAAGTGGTGATCCCAAAATCTGACTTTGCTTTGTTGAAGTTGATTGAAGATGCCTTGCCAAATGATGATCCAAATCCTTAAATATTCTTTGAAGAAAACGTTCAGAACCGTCGCACTGTTTCACCAACCGTTCCCACCAGTTACAAAACTCAAAACTGCCTCTTTCATTGACACATGTCTTTAACCGCCTCGCCAACCGCATAACCCAACGACCGACCAACCGACCAATCTAGATACATAATTGGTCGCCAGATCAAAAGACTCACTGGTCGCCCCATCAAACGACCACTATTTGGTCTCTTCAATCGTCTGACCTATCAACAGACCTTTCTTCGCCCGACTTTCTTTTTCGACCGACCCCCATAGCAGCCAACCTTTGTATCAACCGACCCATTTATCCGACTGCGGATAATCCGACCTGCTTGCCCGACCGCGGACCATCTGACTTGCTTATCTGATTGAGAACTAACCGACTGAGAACCCACCGACTGACTCTGGATACCTTATTATTATTATTATTATTATTATTATTATTATTATTTTTTTGTGCGTAACAACATGCCTCCTCCTCAAGACTCCTAAGCATCATTTCTTATGATGTTTTAGGAGTTAGTAGGTTAGCATCCGAGGCTACGTCAGCCTCAGATCCGACCTCCATCCTTTGAGGCTACGTTGGACCCGACCTCCATTTATCGCGGACTGGTGCTGGCCTGGACGTTGGTCGATCTTGCACTACCATTGTATTCAGACTCCCGTCCGACTTATTCCTCCTTTCGGCCACTGTTGTTCTGTCATTCTTTTGCTCGCCTGAAAAGTTATGGTCGGCGACCTGACCCGTGTCCGTCCATTCGGCGGGGTCCTCCTGACCTGTATCCGTCCATTCGGCGGGGTCCTCCTGACCTGTATCCGTCCAGGTTACGTAGTCCTCCCGATTTTTGTCCGTCCAGTCGACGTGGTCTTCCCGATCTGTATTCGTCCAGTCGGCGTGGTCTTCCCGACCTTTGTCCATCCAGTCGGTGTGGTTGTCCCGACTACGGTCCGTCCATTCGGTGTGGTCCTCCCGACCATGGTCCGTCCAGTCGGTGTGGTCTTCCCGACCATGGTCCGTCCAGGCGTCGTGATCCTGCCGACCTGTCTCCGTCCATTCGGTCGTCCCTGGTCGGGCCTGTCCTCCTGTTTGGTCCTGTCTTCAGTCTGTCTGACTGGGTATATGCTCAGGAATGGCGTTGTCCGTTTGGGGGCATGACATTTCTGGCGGTGCAGGAACCGAATTCAATATGAATTTTGATTGCTCCATCAAGTTTTGCATTGCGTCATGTATTGCCTGCAGATTTGCTATCTGCTGGTCGTACATTTGCCGAAAACCTGCTGTCAATTCGGCCCGTAGTTGGGAAGCTTCTTCTGCCGTGATAAAGCCAACGGCTGTACTGTGGAATTGAAAATTTGCCATATGGATCAGCAATTTTCTCCCACTGTGGTCGCCAATTTGTTGATGTAATTTTTCAACAAAAATAAAGTAAAATTTAAAGATATAGAAAATATCCTTAAACTTGATTAATTAGTGCCTGAGATTAGGAATCTCTAACACTGTATGGTACAGAAAATAAACTGGAAAATAAAAGACTGAAATTTAAAGTGGTGATCCCAAATCTGACTTTGCTTTGTTGAAGTTGATTGAAGATGCCTTGCCAAATGATGATCCAAATCCTTAAATATTCTTTGAAGAAAACGTTCAGAACCGTCGCACTGTTTCACCAACCGTTCCCACCAGTTACAGAACTCAGAACTGCCTCTTTCATTGACACATGTCTTTAACCGCCTCGCCAACCGCATAACCCAACGACCGACCAACCGACCAATCTAGATACATAATTGGTCGCCAGATCAAAAGACTCACTGGTCGCCCCATCAAACGACCACTATTTGGTCTCTTCAATCGTCTGACCTATCAACAAACCTTTCTTCGCCCGACTTCCTTTTTCGACCGACCCCCATAGCAGCTAACCTTTGTATCAACCGACCCATTTATCCGACTGCGGATAATCCGACCTGCTTGCCCGACCGCGGACCATCTGACTTGCTTATCTGATTGAGAACCAACCGACTGAGAACCCACCGACTGACTCTGGATACCTTATTATTATTATTATTATTATTATTATTATTATTATTATTTTTTGTGCGTAACAAGTATAATTAAAAAATAATTTAAAATATATTAATTAAAATAATATCGTATAATAAAAATAATTATAAATTAAAATTAAAATAAATAATTATACTAAGTAAAATTAAAAAAAATAAATTAAAATATATAATTCTTAAAAAAAAAATAAATAGAAAAAACAAAATTAAAAAAATGGACACGGTCAATGACGTGTGTACTGTCCGAACTTTGAGCGGTAAACAACAATAAAAATACTAGGAAATAAATTAAAACCTTCATTTGGGTTTTCACGTGAATGTGAAAAGAAAAAAAGGAAAAAAGAGAATGGTGTGTACGTCGTCGTATTGCTCACGAAACCACTCGTGTGTTCTTTTGCTTTTTTCTTTTTAATTTTTTTATTTGAGTTTCGTATTTTTTAAAACTTTTTTTTGTTATTAAATTTTATATTTTTTAAAACTTTTTTTTGTTATTAAATTTTATTTTTTTGTTATTTAGTTGTATGTAAAAATAATTAAGTATGAATTATAATGAAAATGAACAATAATAATAATATTTTTTTAGTAAAAAAATATAAAAAGATAATACTCTTTTTACTTTAAAAAACTAAAAAAATATTTTTTTTATATAATAATTTTTTTAAAAAAAACACTAAAAATGAATTTGAATGACAACTAAATATATTTTAGTGAAAAATAATTAAGTATTTAATAAAATAGTTACTTTATAATTATAGTTTTTTTAACAAGACATAGAAAATAGAACTTTTTACAAATCTTTAAAACGACACACTTCAAAAAGCAAAGTGACGGAGCACAATTAATTCAAGGGAAAATCCAACCACTACTATTATTATAAATCAAAACGAATGAATTGAGATGGGTTTTTGGTTTTGGATGATTCATAAATATCAATTCAGGTATGATCTTGAATACAATATTCAAGACTTTTCTGAAAAAATTTCAGCCGTTCGATCAAAATTTTAATCAACGGATGAGATTGCAGTTAGGAGTAGATATGTAATTTGATTTTAATAATTAACAAGTCAATGCTTTGTTTTAACATAAATTAAGGGAATATAAATACAGATAGATGTAGATTGTATTCATAATTTTAATAGGTTCACATAAAAAAAAAAACTTCATCTTCTTTCACCGATATATATTTAAGAAAATAAATTGTGAAGAAGTTTGAGCGTAGAACAAGATGAAACAAATGATTGTCGGTCAGTTCCAGTGTATTGTGGACAAATATAACATTTTAGAAATTACGGAATGGGGTAAGTTTTATTATCGATCACGAAAGTAATGTATTGGCGAATTTTTATTACATCATATCTCTATCTTCTGAATATCATATATTAAATATATATGCATCATAATCGTATTAATCATTCAACATATCAATAATTGCATACAAGAATTATTTAATCAATGGCTGACTTGCAGACTTTCGTTAGTTCAATTAGACATTAAATTTATCTTGATTGTCGAATCCAATATTTGTACAAATGATATGTAGCCTGAAATAAAAAAAAAAATAGTTTACATTATTTTCTTAATGCGTTTTTAAATCTTATTATATTTTTGTAGAA